TCAACAGGTTAAAATGTTCTTGATGGTTGGTTTTTCCATATTAAGGGATTCGCAGTATTAATTTGTTGAATTGAAGAATCAATAGATTAAAATGCTCTAGTCATTTTTCATTTCAAAAGTATCTCAGAATTTTAATCTGTTGAAATCAAGTTCAATCTGTTGAAACAGAGAGATGTCATTTTTTATTTTAAAGTATTTCAGAATTTCAATCTGTTGAAATAAATTTTAATCTGTTGAAACAGAGAGATATCATTTTTCATTTTAAGGTATCTTAGAATTTCAATCTGTTGAAATATATTTTAATCTGTTGAAACAAAGAGCTACCATTTTTCTTCTAACTGTTTCAATCCATTAAAAGCTCGAATTAACCGATTGAATGAGTTTTAAATGAAATAAATCGATTGAAACATCATTTTAAATCGATTGAATCTATCAGTCCCTCTCTTTTAGTCTATAAATACAGTTTTGATTTCTCTTTCAAACACACAATTTGGAAAACGATTGAAAGCAATCTTGGAGCTCTCATATTCGTGTCTTTATCTAAGCATTCAAAAACATTTCATATCATAAGGCGTTTTGATCAAGATTTTTAAAAGATCTTCAAGAGAGAAAGTTCCGAGTTAGAAAAATTGCTTCCGGACTTCTATATTGTAAAAGCTGCAGTCCAGGTTTATTCTTTTCATATACTTGTATGAATTCTAATTGTGTAGATTGGGTTTGAATCTGCATTGGTTATAGTAACTGGGTTTGGTTGCTGGGTGGTATTTCAAGAGTCTATCTTGTGTTGTTGTAAGGTAGTTCTTGGGGTAGATTGGTGTATATCTACTGGTTTGTATTTTCACTTGGTATTAGTGGAACTTGGCAGATTTGTCAAGAACTGGATGTAGCTCTTGGGAAGAGTGAACCAGTATAAACTCTTGTGTTGTATTTTTGCTTTTATCTCTTTTCATTTCTGGTTTATATTCTTGCTTTGTTTAAAACCAAATCTGCCTAATAAAAGATTGGATAAAGATTAATCATTCTTCCACAAAAAAAGAGTGTTTTTCGAAAAAGATTTCTAAAGTTCAATTCACCCCCCCTCTTGAACTCAACCATTAATTTTTACAATTGGTATCAAGAGCTGGTTCTTGTAAGTTACTCAAGAATTCGGTCCAAGAAAGGTTTAAATGGCTGAGGGAAAGATGAATTTTTCTGGAGGAGCCTCCATCAATAGGCCTCCTCTATTTGCTAGTGTGAATTATTCTTTCTGGAAGGTTAGAATGAAAATATTTATTGAATCTCTTGATAGGGGTATTTGGGATACAATTGTTAATGGTCCTTTCAAACCAACTCATACAGTGGATGGTAAAATTGTTGAAAAAGACTGGGCTGACTTAATTGATGCAGAAAATAGGAAAGTTTAATATGATTATACTGCTAAGAACATTATTACCTCTGCCTTAAATCTTGATGAGTTTTTCAGGGTTTCTCAATGTGCCTCTGCCAAAGAAATGTGGGAGATTCTAGAGGTCACTCATGAGGGTACCTCTGATGTGAAAAGGGCAAGGAAGCATGAATTAATTAGAGATTATGAATTGTTCAAAATGCAGCAAGGTGAAACCATTGCAGATGTGCAGAAAAGATTCACTCATATAGTCAACCATCTAATTGGATTAGGCAAGACGTTTGACAAGGAAGAGCTAAACATCAAAATCCTAAAATGTTTGGACAGAACTTGGCAACCAAAGGTGACAGCTATATCAGAATCAAGAGACTTAACTGAGATGACTACTGCATCATTGTTTGGTAAGCTAAGGGAACACGAGTTGGAGATCAATCGGTTTAAAGAACAAGAAAATGCAGAGAAGAAAAGCAAAAATATTGTTCTCAAGACGATTGAAGAAAGTAGTGACTCGAAGAAGATGAATCCGAGAATCGAATCTGTTGGTTAAGAAGTTTGGGAAATTTCTTAAGAAGAAGAACAAAACTGGCTAGATTAAAAGGTACACCGATAAAAGAACTGATTCTATTTAAAATACTTATACTTGTTATTCTTGTGGTAAGCATGGACACATAAGAAGTGAATGTCCAGAAAAATCCAAGAATCAAAACAAGAAAGATATGAAGTACAAAGGGAAAAAGGCCTACATAGCTTGGCAAGACAATGATTCATCCTCGAGTTCTCGTATCCGAAGGTGAAGAAGTGAATCTATGCTTAATGGTCGGTCGTGAATCCTCTTCATCCCATGTAAGTTCAACCCCCACAGAAAATGAAATGAATTACAGCACATTACTAACTGCTTTCAATGAAATGCATGATGAAGCTAGGAATTTATCCTATACAAATAATCGGTTAAAAGGACTAAACAACTGGTTAGAGAATATGGTTAAACTTCTGGAAGAAGAATTATTAGAAAGCAAAACAGATATGGAACATCTTGAAATAATCTACAATAATTCATCTTCTGATAATGTTGCTGCTAACAACAATTGTGAAAAGTGTATCTCTCTGCAGAAAAAGGTTGAGTATTTGATTAAAACCTTATCTAAGTTTACTCAAGGTAAAGAAAATTTAGATACACTTCTTGGATCTCAAAACTGTGTTTTTGATCATACTGGAATTGGTTGCAAACCTAAGTTTGGGGTTAAAACTAAAAGGTATTTGAACTTCTTTTCTTTCAGAAAATCAACAGCATCTCCTTTATCATCTTGTCATTATTGTATGGAAAAAGGGCATACTGTAAAATTCTGTCATATTAGAAAACATTTTGTGCCACAGGGTAAAATGAGATGGGTTCCAAAATATGTTAAATAGAAAATTTGACCACTAAGGACCCAAAGTATTTAAGGGTACCAAATACTTGATGCTTGATTTTTCAGGAACAACAACAAGAATCACTTTGGTACTTGGACAGTGGATGCTCAAGGCATATGACAGGTGATATTTCCAAATTCCAGAAACTGAGATTGAAGACTGGAGGTCACGTGACATATGGAGATAACAACAAGGGAAGAATCTTAGGTTCTAGAGATATAGGAGATGGTGAAACTGTGACCATTCACAATGTTCTTCTTGTTGAAGGTCTTAAGCACAACTTAATCAGTATAAGACAATTATGTGATCTAGGTCAGAAGGTTATCTTCAAACCAGAAATCTGCCTAATCTGTGAGCCAAAATCTGACACGGTAATGTTGGTTGGTAAGAGATTAAACAACATTTACATGCTAGATATCAAACATTCTATCTCATCTCAAAGTTGTCTTCTTACTAAAGAAGAAGAATCTTGGCTATGGCATAGAAGGCTTGCATATATTCATCTTAATCATCTTGACAAACTAATTACTAAAGATTTATTTTCTGGACTACCTAAGCTTCAAATTCTGAAAGACAAAATCTGTGAAGCTTGTTAAAAAGAATAAAACAACAGGTACTGCAGATGATGACGAATTAGCTGGTAATTCTTATCAGTTAAAATATCCCAGAGGTACAGATCAGTATACTGTTGAAGAAAGTGATCAATCAATTGATCCCACAAAAACTGATCCACCAGAAAGAATTGTTGGAGAACAGGAAGAAGATACCTTGGATGAGCTTCCTAAAGAATGGATTGTCCCAAGAGATCTTTCTCTAGACAATGTTATTGGGCAAATCAATAAGGGGATTACTTCAGATGGATGTCAAGAGTGCCTTTCTAAATGGACTCATTAATGAAGAAGTCTATGTTTCTCAACCTCCTGGTTTTGAAAACCATAAACATCCTAACCATGTCTACAAGCTGAAAAAGGCTCTTTATGGATTAAAGCAGGCTCCTAGACAATGGTATGAGAGGCTAAGTAATTTCTTAATTTATCAAGGATACAAACAAGGTGAAGTTGACAAAACCTTATTCATTAAGAAATCTGGATCTGACATTATTCTGGTGCAGGTTTATGTTGATGATATCATTTTTGGTTCTACTAATAATGCCTTGTGTAATAAATTTGTTAAGGAAATGCAAAGTGAATTTGAGATGTCTATGATGGGAGAACTGAATTTCTTCCTTGGTCTCCAGGTTAAGCAATTAAGGAATGGTATTTTCCTAAATCAATCTAAATACTGTAATGAGTTGTTGAAGAAATTTGATATGCATAATTGCAAAGAATCCTCCACACCCATGTCTACTAACTGCTGTCTAGATTTAGATGAAAAAGGGAAATTTGTTGATCAAACTAAATATAGAGGTTTGATTGGATGTCTTTTATATCTAACTGCTAGTAGGCCTGACATTATGTTCAATGTTTGCCTTTGTGCTAGATTTCATTAAAATCCAAAGGAATCTCACCTCACTGCTGCTAAAAGGATTCTCAATGTCGCCGCCGTCAAAAAGAGGCGGTCGGAGTGACGCGATGGTTTTGTCGACCCTCTTGCTTTCGCGTTTTTTTTATAGGTGGTTACAACGTCCTTAGGTTGTCTGATAACCGGGCTAACCTAGAGACGAGGTTTTCGAAAAAGTGTTCTTGGGTTGTCTGATAACCGGGCTAACCCAAGAACGGGTTTTGAAGGGTTCGTGGAGTCGCCACCAATGTTTTTATCAGAAACATCGGAAAAGGAGTTTAAAAATGCGTTGGTTTTCGAAAACCAACTTTGGTCATTAGAACCAGAGTTGGGTAAGGGAGTTAGTTACGTGTAAAGGAAGTGTTAGTTCCTTTACGACGCCCCTTTCGGGTTCCCTATGATAGGCTGGCTACTTTGGATAAATAATTAAACTGGAAAATTGCGCTTTTATCCTTTTATTATGCGGTATTTAAAGATTATGACTACATGGCCCTAGCGTCTATTGCATAATTTAAATGGAAGCGGTAAAGTAAATAAAGAGGTTTATGAACCTTCGAAGCAAGCTTTCTTATATTCTTTGAAAGAGGGTGCTTTGTGGCAGCCCTTCACTCTAGAACGCTCAGAAACTCCGGAAATGCCTCGGAGGGATTCTAAAGAAGATTTAGAACGCTCAAAATTCTCCTAAAGACACTCAGGAACTCCGGAAATGCTTCGGAGGGGTTCTAGAGAGAGAAAATCTAGAGAGAAGGAGGAGGAACTGTGTGTTTCTGTGTGGAAATGAGGGGGGGAGAGCCCCTATTTATAGTTTTTCGCGCCTGACAGGTCGAGACCGTTGTTTCGTCTGACAGGGTCGAGACCGCCGTCTGGACAATCCAGACCGCCGTCTCGATCATGGTAGGGGGTCGAGACCGTCGTCTGGATAATCCAGACCGCCGTCTCGACTAGGCAGAAGTCGAGACCGTCGTCTGGATAATCCAGACGGCGGTCTCGTCCCTGGCGTGAGGCGAGACGGCGGTCTGGTCCTTCCAGATGGCAGTCTCGTCCCTTCAGGGCGAGAAACTTTAATTTTCGGGCCAGAAAAGCCTCCTATCTTAGTACGGGGGCCTAATAGTCTCTCCTAGTGGCTTGTTAGGCTTCGACCGTCTTCAAATAGGGGGTCTTCTGACTTTATTTGGAGGCCGGGCAAGATTTGGGGTCTACAGCTGCCCCCCCTTTACCTGACTAGTCGGTTGTTGGCTTTGTTGTGCCAGACAGGTAGACAGGAAGGTAAAGGAGTTGACCCTCTCGCCCGGCTACCCTTCGGACGTCCCGTCTTGTGGCGGATGATCCTCTGGGGAGATGTTGTATTTATGCACCTCCGAGATACTACTCCTGACGTAGCCAATCCCTTTGGTTGACACGTGGTGGAACCTCCGGATACTACTCCTGACGTAGCCGATCCTTTGGTTGATGGGTATAAACCCCCCATCAGGCAGGTAGTTACAGTCCGTTGTGTGGGACTGGATGGGTATGAACCCCCCATCAGGGTGGTAGTGGCGGCTTACTGTTCAGGTGGCCCATGCGCCGTCTAGGCACTCCTTGTGTGCTGGTTGATAGGTATAAACCCCCTACCAGGCTGGTACAGTCCGTTGCGTAGGACTGGTGGTGGTGGCGGCTTACTGCTCGGGTAGCTCATGCGCCGTTTCACTGGGGAGTGATTTCCATGTTGGTAGATGTTCTTGGACTTGATGGTCGTCCGGGCTGTGCCGGGGGTTTTATTGGTTGTCCATCCAGCTTTGTTGGTTGCTGTGGATTCTTTGTTTTTGCTCTTTTGGTGGCGATCATCCGGTCCTTGCTGGCTGGTCGGATGGGTCTTAGTTTTATTCGACTCTTGCTTGGCAGTCGAAATTTTGAGGTGATGGCTTAATCCTGCCTTTTTCTCACGGTTTTATCTCTTTTTTCTCGCGATTTTGGATTTTGGCTTTTTTCTTGAGCGAACGCCTTTTCTCTTAGTTTTCTTCTTGACTTCTTTGGGAAGGATGGCAAAAAGGGTTGGTGAAGTCGTACCGGGATGTCCTTTTTTGTTCTTTATGAAATGCAAGCATGAGGTTGATCTTCCTATATGAATGCCTTTTATTTGTCTACTGTATTTTTGTTTGTTTTACTTTTGACAAAGTCATTTTTTGTGCGATTACTCGTGTGTGGATGTCGTTGATGCAATTTTATTTGAGGACATCTAGAAAGTGACCGGTACTTTCCTTTCTTTTTGTTCGCTCGTGACTATTCTTTTTTTGTACTCTTGTTCTAACCCAATCTTTTGCCTAGACCGCCCTTTGCGGGTTTTCGATCTAGCGGGTTTTGATTCTTCGTTTGAGATATTTTGATGGGTTTTTTCCTTTTTACGAAAGCCTTATCTTTTGCCTAGACCGCCCTTTGCGGGTTTTCGATCTAGCAGGCTACCCTGTACTTTTTACTTGGGACGGCCCTGGTTGGTGATGTTCGTCTTTGTCTTTATGCTTTCTTGAATTGCTTGTTTTATGCATGCTCATATTTCGTTAATATAGAGGCATTTACACAAGTAGGTAAAGAGAGGAAAAGACAATTTTATTGATATAAACAAATGGTTTATTTTTACATGGGGGTTTATAATAGAATTTGTAAGCATGGCTGGCCAAGGTTGGCTAAACTGTATGAGGGGGCCACAATCATGTCTGTGATCTATGTTTCCCCATTTTTCCTGGTCCCTTCGGTTGAGATGCTCGAATCCGGAGTGAAGACCATGCGAAGTCTGCTTGCTTTTGTGAAGGTATTACCTTAGTCGCCTTTGCGGTTTTCGGCTAAGGTAATCATTACTCTCTCTGTTTCTCTCTCTTTTTTTTTTTTTTTTTTTTTTTTTGAAACCTCTAGTTTTTGCCTAGGACGTGTCCTACCGAGGAATGTAGACCCTATCTTTTGCCCAGGACGCTCTTTGCGAGTTTTAATCCTGACGGGTCATGAGCAATGTCTTTTAGGTGTAGTATTTTTTCACCGTATCTGAGTTGACAGGGTACCGGAGCTCTTCTCCATCCATGTTGGTGAGGATAAGGGCTCCTCCTGAGAAGGCTCGCTTGACCACAAGGGGTCCTTCGTAGTTGGCTGCCCATTTCCCGATTTTGTCTTTCTGGGCTGGAAGCAGTTTCTTCACTACTAGATCTCCTTCTAGGAAAGTGCGGGGATTGATCTTCTTGTCGTAGGCCTTCTTAATTTTCTTTTGGTAAGCCTGCCCCCGACATATGGCATCTAGCCGTTTTTCTTCGATTAGGTTCAATTGATCATACCGGCTTTGGACCCATTCAGCCTCTGTTAATTTGGCTTCCATGACAACTCGCAGAGAGGGTATTTCGACCTCTATTGGTAGTACGGCCTCCATCCCGTATACGAGGGAAAATGGGGTAGCCCCTGTGGAGGTCCGTACCGACGTTCGGTAACCATGCAAGGCGAAAGGAAGTATTTCATGCCAGTCTTTATAGGTAACCACCATCTTCTGAATGATTTTCTTGATATTTTTGTTGGCTGACTCTACTGCACCGTTCATCTTTGGTCGGTACGGGGAGGAATTGTGGTGCTGGATTTTGAAGTCTTGGCATAATTCCTCCATCATCTTATTGTTGAGGTTGGTCCCATTATCAGTAATGAGCTTATGAGGGATGTCGTACCGACATATGATGTTTTTCTTGATGAAGGTGGTCACCACTTTCCGAGTTACATGCGCATATGACGCGGCCTCAACCCACTTGGTGAAATAGTCGATTGCTACCAATATGAAGCGATGGCCGTTGGACGCTTTGGGTTCGATGGGTCCGATGACATCCATGCCCCCACATAGAAAATGGCCATGGTGCAGCCAGGTTATTGAGAGGTGCGGGCGGCACATGGATGTTATCGGCGTATACTTGGCACTTATGGCATTTCTTGGCATATTGGTGACAATCAGCTACCATCGTGGACCAATAGTACCCTGCCCTGAGGATTTTCTTTGTCATGACATGCCCGGGTGCGTGGGTTCCAAAAGTCCCCTTGTGGATTTCTCTTATTAAGGTTTGAGCTTCTTCTCGATCCACACACCTTAAGAAAGTGGAATCAGGGCTCTTTTTGTAGAGGGTTCCTTCAATCAACGTGAACCCTACAGCCCTTTTGTGAATGGTTCGCTTATCATTGTCACTGATTCCTTCAGGATATTCGCCCTTTATGAGGTACCGCTTGATGTCATGGTACCAGGGGTTTTGATCGTGCTCGCTATTTACTGCCATGCAGAAAGCTTGTTTGTCATGCAGTTTGACTTGAATGATTGGCATCTCATGTTCCTGGTCCAGGGCAAACATGGATGATAGAGTGGCGAGGGCGTCGGCAATTTGGTTGTCTTCCCGAGGGATGTACTGAAAAGTGACGTTTTCCATTCTCGAGACCAGCTTGTGGATGTACTCTAGATATGGGATTAATTTGGAGTTTCGGGTTTCCTATTCACCTTTAAGTTGGTAGATGACAAGGGATGAATCACCGAATATTTTGAGTTTAGTGACCCCATGATCTAAAGCCGCTTGGATTCCTAGTGCACACGCTTCGTATTCAGCCATGTTGTTGGTGCAATCGAAATTAAGCCTGGCCGTTACAGGAATGTGTTTCTTTTCGGGGGATATCAAAATAGCTCCTACCCCGTGTCCAAGCATGTTTGAAGCCCCATCGAAGAACATGGTCCACATCTCTTCTTTGGTCTCTTCGTGTTCGATGTGCATGATATGCTCATCGGGGAAGTCATCTTGTAAGGATTGGTATTTGTCTGTGGATCCATGGGCTAGATAATCCGCTAGGGGACTTCCTTTAATAGCTTTCGGGTGACGTGAATGATGTCAAATTCGAGAGGAGAACTCGCCACCTAGCTATTCTTCTAGTTAAAATGGGCTTCTCGAAGAGGTATTTGATTGGATCCATTTTGGAGACCAACCATGTTGTATGTCGAGCCATATACTGTCTGAGACGTTGAGTGACCCACACCAATGCGTAACAAGTTTTTTCGAATGGTGTATAACGGGTTTCGTAGTCCGAGAATTTCTTACTGAGATAATAAATGGCCCGTTCCTTTTTTCCGGTTTCATCATGTTGGCCGAGCACACATCCCATGGACTCTTCAAGGATCGATAGATATAGGATCAGAGGTCTCCCTTCAACGGGTGGTACCAATACTGGTGGATTGGTTAAACATGTTTTGATTTTATCGAACGCTTGTTGGCATTCTTCATTCCACACCGTTGGTTGATTTTTGCGCAACAGTTTAAAGATGGGTATACATTTATCCGTCAACTGTGCGATGAAACGGGCAATGTAGTTTATCCGGCCCAGAAAACCTCTGACCTCCTTTTTCGTGCTTGGTGGAGGCATTTCCAAAATTGCCTTGGTTTTGTCGGGGTCCGCCTCGATTCCTTTTTCACTGACAATGAACCCTAGGAGTTTTCCTGATCGTACTCCGAAAGTACATTTTGCAGGGTTCAGTTTGAGTTGATACTTCCGAAGCCGATCAAAAAGTTTTCGGAGATATTGAATGTGGTCCATTTCATTTCTGGACTTGGCGATCATGTAGTCCACGTATACTTCTATTTCTTTGTGGATCATGTCATGGAATAGCGTGACCATAGCCCTTTGGTAGGTAGCCCCTGTATTTTTCAGCCCAAACGGCATTACACGATAGCAGAAGGTACCCCATGGTGTAATGAATGAGGTTTTTTCTCTATCCTCAACAGCCAACTTGATCTGGTTGTACCCCGCATACCCGTCCATGAAGGAATACAACATGTTGGTAGCGGTATGGTCTACCAGCGTGTCTATGTGTGGTAGGGGAAAGTCGTCCTTTGGACTTGCTCGATTGAGGTCCCTATAATCCACGCAGACCCTGACCTTCCCGGTCTTTTTGATGACGGGTACTATATTGGCCAACCATTCTGGGTATTTGGACACTACAAGAAAGTTGGCATCCAACTGCCTTTGCACCTCCTCTTTTATCATTAAGGACCAGTCCGATTTGATCCTCCTGAGTTTTTGTTTCACAGGCCGAAACCCCTCTTTCAGTGGCAATTTGTGTTCCACAATACTCGTGTCAAGCCCTGGCATG